CAAAGGAAACTATAAGCAAGGTGAAAAGACAGCCGTCATATTGGGAGAAAATAATAGCAAACGAAGCAACAGATAAAGGATTAATCTCAAAAATATACAAGCAACTCCTCCAGCTCAACTCCAGAAAAAATAAATGACCCAATCAAAAAATGGGCCAAAGAACTGAACAGACATTTCTCCAAGGAAGACATACAGATGGCTAACAAACACATGAAAAGATGCTCAACATCACTCATTATCAGAGAAATGCAAATCAAAACCACAATGAGGTACCATCACACGCCAGTCAGGATGGCTGCTATCGAAAAGTCTACAATCAATAAATGATGGAGAGGGTGTGGAGAAAAGGGAACCCTCTTACACTATTGGTCGGAATGGAAAATAGTACAGCCACTATGGAAAACAGTGCGGAGATTTCTTAAAAAGCTAGAAATAGAACTGCCATATGACCCAGCAATCCCACTTCTGGGCATACACACCGAGGAAACCAGATCTGAAAGAGACACCTGCACCCCAATGTTCATCGCAGCACTGTTTATAATAGCCAGGACATGGAAGCAACCTAGATGCCCATCAGCAGACCAATGGATGAAGAAGCTGTGGTACGTATACACCATGGAATATTACTCAGCCATTAGAAATAATTCATTTGAATCAGTTCTAATGAGATGGATGAAACTGGAGCTCATTATGCAGAGTGAAGTAAGCCAGAAAATTAAAGACCATTACAGTATACTAACACATATATATGGAATTTAGAAAGATGGTAACGATAACCCTATATGTAAAACAGAAAAAGAGACTCCGATGTATAGAACAGACTTGTGGACTCTGGGAGAAGGCGAGGGTGGGATGTTTCAAGAGAACAGCATCGAAACACATATATTATCTAGGGTGAAACAGATCACCAGCCCAGGTTGGGTGCATGAGACAAGTGCTCGGGCCTGGTGCACTGGGAAGACCCAGAGGGATCGGGTGGAGAGGGAGGTGGGAGGGGGGACCGGGATGGGCAATACATGTAAATCCATGGCTGATTCATCTCAATGTATGACAAAAACCACTGCAATGATGTAAAGTAATTAGCCTCCAACTAATAAAAATAAATGAAAAAAAAAAAAAAAAAAGAAAGTGTTCAGAATGAAGCACAGCTTACACCACTACATACAAAGTATGACACAGCATAATCTATTGATCTTTGTCCCCTGAAGAATCCAGCATTGATTAACCATTTGAAACTCAAACAGCATAATTCAACTTACTAAAAACTAAAAATGAAACACAGTAGGCTTATCTCGATAAATGGTGAAAAATACTTTCATGAAATCTAATTTCTGTTCCTATGTTGGGAATATCCTCTGGAGAAGGGCATGGCATCCCACTGAAGTAGTCTTGGCTGGAGAATCCCCAAGACCAGAGCAGCCTCTTAGGCTTATTCTCCATGAAGTTACAAACAGCTGTGTACAACTGAGTGACTGAGCACATTCTGTAAAAATAGAAAAAAAAAGAAAAAATTAAAAGAAAACTCTTAGCAAACTAGAAATAGAAAACTTCCTCAACCTAATGAAGGTAATAAACAGTATAGTTAACATGACACTTCAATGATAAACAATGAGAATTTTACTTCTAAGATCAGAATTAACAACAAGATGTCCAGTCTCATTATATTGAATTTTTCTCCATGAAATTTTAGAAAATGATAGAGAAGTTATGCAGTTTGTGAAAGAAGAATTAAACTGTTTTCATTTGTCAGTGACATCTATGGATAATATTTAATGGAATATATAGCAACAACAATAAGAAAAACTGAATGAAGTAGGTCGTATGCCTAAGAGTAGGTCACATGGTGATTACAGTTTTACTAAGTAGCTTCAATATTGTTCACCATCATGGTGGTGCCAATTTTCATGCCCACTGACAGTGCAAGAGGGTTCCCTTTTCGCCACAATGTCTTCAAATTATTGTTTGATGATGGCTTATTTTGAGTGGTGTGAAATAGTACCTTGTTGTAGTTTTGACTTCCATTTCTCTAAGAGCTAGTGGTGTTGAGCATCTTTTCCTGGGTCTGTTGGCCATATGTATAACTTCTTCCGGGAAAAAATGCCTACTTAGATATGCCCATGTTTTTCTTTTGTTGTTGTTGTTCGTTTGTTTGTTTGTTTGTTTATAGGAGCTGTCAATGACCTTTTATATATTCCATACACACAGTCTTCCTAGTTGATAGTGTGGATTTAATCTGCAGTTTGTACACCTGGTTGGTAGGTCCTGGGTCTTCTTCCTTACCTACACTGCCACTGGATTACAACTGTGGTTTTATTTCCATCTCTGCATGTGGTTTGTCCACTGGGATTTGCTCCTGAGGTGGCCCTGGAGGCTTTGGGTTTGCCCATATGAGGGCCAGGTGTGGAGATGGTGCGGCTGCTTCGGTCACAGGGATTCTGACATCGCCAGCCACTCAGGGTTTTGGTGATTAGGACAGCAGGTAATATAGTGCTCCAGAAGGGTACGGTGATAAGTGTTGGCCAACACCTCCAGTATTCTCGCATGGAGAACCCCCTCCCAGATAGAGTCCTGCCACAGTCTACAAGGGAGAAGAGTGTCTGACACTACTGAAGAGACCCTGAGAGCACAGATGCAAGAGTCTTTAGCAGTGGCAGCTCTGCCTGAGTGAGTGTTGAGCATGAAGGCAACACAGCTGGTTGGCTTGCGGAGACCCTGACAGTGCCAAGTGTCCAGGGACTTGGACTGCCTCCACTGCAGGAATTATGGCCCTATCAGAATATTTCTTTGATCCTATCAGCGCTGGCAATCAGAAGGCCTCTTTGGCTAGTATTTCTCATAGTTCCATGCATTCAGGCACTTCGAGAGTTCTCTGGTCTGGGGTCCTTCTCTGTCATTGAGTGTGCCAGGCAAATAGAGGATGGCCCCTCAGGCTGGGGCCCTATTCTGCAGTTTGGAGCATCAGTCATTTAAAGGAGCACCCTGGGTGGAGTCTTACTCAGTAGTTCAGTGATTCAAGTCCTTGATGAACCAGCCTCTCTATTATTCAGTTGTGATGAAGGCATGTGGGGAGCGAGAGGCTAGGGTGATGGCTCCATCCCCTATACATGACTCAGCGGTGTCACCTTCCTTCCATGGCTGCCTGGCTTACCTCCACAAGCTTTTCCCACACAATCTCTTCATCTGAACACTCCATCAATTTGTCTCTAACCAGTAGACAGCAGACCATGGGCAGGGATTTCTCCACAATCTCTATGAACCTGTTGCACCTTCTAAAGGACCTGTGTCCCTCTCTGGGGTGTGAATGGCTGTGGAAAGGACTGTCTCATTCTCATTCCATTTAGGCTGCCACAGATCAACTGTTTGACTCTCAGCCTGAAGTGTTTCTCCTCTGATCCAGACAGTTGCTCCCAAGTGGAGATCGGACACCTACTTCAGGTCTCCCACCCCCTGAGGGCAGGTCCAGTCCTGCTAACACTCATGTTTACCCCCTAGTTCCTTCATTGTATTGTTTATTTGTGGTTCCATATATTATTTCTTCTGTTCATGTAGTCATGTCTACTCTCAGCTAAGGTTCTTCAAGCACTTGTGTCTGAAGGTGTGTTCCTGATGGATACTTGGACAGAGATGTACTCCCTGTACACCTCCACCTCCACCATCTCCGTTTCCCAAATTTTGACTATTAGAAATAAGACTGCTATGAACATTCATGTGTGTCCTAGGTGAGTAAGCAACCAGAGGACACCAGGAAGACAGCACTTGATGGAAACCAGTGGAAATACCACAAAGTCAATAAAGACTGTCTCCCAGGGGTACATCTCAGGTTGGCTGAACCTGCTAGTCAATTAGGAACACAGGGACTGTGGTGAAGCACACAACTCATCCCCCTATCCTCCAGAGCCAACAACCTTAAAGAGAGAACTTAGGAGCTAGATGGGTAGGCATGATTTACTCAGTGTTTCCTCCAAGAAGCTGGAAGCTTGTGGTAGCTATTCATGGAAATGAATTCCACCATGGTCTCAATTGTGAGGTAAAACACAAAGGAGGTTCTGGCAGGAACACAGGATGAGAAATTTGTGAGGGTGCATGTTGAGAAGACCTTTGCACATGAGGCTCACACACCACTGGGCAAGCCCCACCCCTTCCTTCCTGGGAATGCTAATCAGCCACAGGTGGTCATTTCCTTCTTGGGTCATCCAGCACAACACAGAGCATGCATTTATCTGCCTCATCCACAACACCATGTTAAAAGGAAGCCTGGCTATTACACCTAGGGAGGTGACCATTAGTCCTCAAGTTGAAACAAGACAGTGCCAAGTGGAGCAAGAGCAAGTGGATGTATTCAGTGCATTCTCACAGCTTGAGGACAGGGGTTTCAGACTGGAGACTAGGAAACTGAGGAGAGCTAGATGAAGACTGAGAAAAGGAGGTGGGATGGAAAAGGTTTCTCATAAGTGGCCCAGAATTGAATGGCTTTCAAGGTTCATTAAGACCAGTTGTAGGACAAAAGTGAAATCACTCTCATTTCCACAGCCTAGTTATCATGGAGGGATTTGAGGCAAGATGACTAAAAGTTGATAATAATGTAACGTGAGAGAATTGAATAAAAGGCTGAAAACTGGCTGTGAGGCACGGTTTGGAGGAGACACATTCTCCTTGCCATGTGACCAATCTGTGTTGACTCAGAGAGATGAGGATGGCAGGTGAGGTTGGCGGGCTCTTTAGGATCATAAAGAATGCCTCATTTCTCCCACCAAATCATCTGAGCTGCTCCCCATCCACCCTCAGAGTTTTCAGGATGAGGCTTTGTGACGCAAAGGCTCGTGGAGGGCTGCCATTGGCTGGGGAAGTGACTGACGTCATAATCATAAGGGTGTGGTCCCCTATGTATAGGCATGCTCAGTGGCTCTGGAGCAGACCCCTGGGAGTCTTCAAAATGAATAAGGTGGCCTGGGTGGCCCTGCCCCGTGCCACGCACCATGGCCTCTGAGGATCTGTACGAGGTTGAAAGGATCCTTGATAAGAGGAAAAGCAACAAAGGGAAGACAGAGTATTTGGTTCAGTGGAAAGGCTATGGCAGGGAGGATGCCACCTGGGAGCCAGAGCAGCACCTGGTGAACTGCGAGGAGTGCATCCACGACTTCAACCAGTGCCACAGTGAGAAGCAGAAGGAGGGCACCTTCTCCAGAGCCAACCAGACCTCTGCAAACAATGGCCAGAAGCGGATCTCCAGATCCACCAGCAGCAGCTTCTCCAAGGCTGCCTCCAAGGCCCTAGTGGTGGGCAAGGAGCAGGAGGCCAAGAGCAGCCTGCTGGTTACTGCCAGCCAGAAGTTCAGGAAGAGCCCCATGCCAGGCATGGCCACCTGCAAGAACCTGGACCTGGCCAAGTCTGACATCAGGATCCTCGTGCCCAAGAGCCCCATCCAGGGCAGCACTGGGGTGCACGGCTTTCAGGACGACAGCCCCGAGAAGCTGGACCCCGTGGAGCAGGGACTGGAGGACACAGCAGCCAGGGAGGTTGTGGCCGAGAAGCCAGGTAGGGGCCCTTCTGGGCCAGGTGGTGGTGCGGGCCTGGATGGGGAGCTGCCTGTGGATACACCCGCTGGTGCAGCAGGTGTTGGCCCCGCATCGGCGGCTGTGACCACGGGGCTGGCCGTGAACGGGAAAGGCATCTCCCCGTTCATGGGTGCCTTGATGGCTAACGGGATGACCTCCCTGCAAACGTCAGCCACGGGCATAACGGCCGGGAAGAGGAAGTTCATCGAGGACAGGCGAGACCAGTCCTTTGACAAGCTGCTGGGCTTGCACGTGCGGCAGACGGAGAGCGCCTCCAGGTACCGGGACATCATGGTCCGGAAGCAGGATGGCTTCACCCACATCCTGCTGTCCACCAAGTCCTCTGAGAACAACTCGCTGAACCCGGAGGTCATGAAGGAGCTGCAGAGCGCGCTGAGCATGGCCGGGGCCGACGGCAGCAAGCTGGTGCTTCTCAGCGCCGTGGGCAGCGTCTTCTGCTGCGGCCTGGACTTAGTTTACTTCATCCGGCGCCTGACAGACGACCGCAAGAGGGGTGTCCTTGGTTACCACTGTCACAGGAGGTGTGTCCCTGGTTACCACCGACTGTCACAGGCAGGTGTCCCTGCAACTGTAAATGTCATAGGTGGGTTTCCCTGGTTACCACCGACTGTCACAGGTGAGTGTACATGGTTACCACTGACTGTCACAGGAGGGCTGTCCCTGGGTACCATTGTCACAGGAGGGGTGTCCTTGGTTACCATGGTCGCAGGTGGGTTTCCCTGGTTACCACTGACTGTCAGAGATGCGTGTCCCTGGTTCACACCGACTGTCATATGTGCGTGTCCCTGGTAACCATGGTCACAGGAGAGGTGTCCTTGGTTACCAGTGAGTGTGGTAGGGGTGTCCTTGGTTACCATGGTCACAGGTTCGTTTCCCTGGTTACCACCGACTGTCACCGGAGGTGTGTCACTGGTTACCATCGACTGTCACAGGCAGGTGTCCCTGGGCACTGTGAATGTCACAGGTGGGTTTCCCTGGTTACCACCGACTGTCACAGGTGAGTGTACATGGTTACCACTGACTGTCACAGGAGGGCTGTCCCTGGGTACCATTGTGACAGGAGGGGTGTCCTTAGTTACCACTGGCACAGGAGGTGTGTCCCTGGATACCACCGACTGTCACAGGCAGGTGTCCCTGGGCACTGGGAATGTCATAGGTGGGTTTCCCTGGTTACCACCGACTGTCACAGGTGAGTGTACATGGTTACCACTGACTGTCACAGGAGGGCTGTCCCTGGGTACCATTGTCACAGGAGGGGTGTCCTTGGTTACCATTGTCGCAGGTGGGTTTCCCTGGTTACCACTGACTGTCAGAGATGCGTGTCCCTGGTTACCACGGACTGTCATATTTGCATGTCCCTGGTAACCACGGTCACAGGAGGGGTGTTTCTCTTTACCACCAACTGTCACAGGAGGTGTGTCCCTGTTTACAACCGACTGTCACAGGCCGGTGTCCCTGGGCACTGTGAATGTCATAGGTGGGTTTCCCTGGTTACCACCGACTGTCAGAGGAGGGCTGTCCCTGGGTACCATTGTGACAGGAGGGGTGTCTTTGGTTACCATGGTCGCATGTGGGTTTCCCTGGTTACCACTGACTGTAAGATGCGTGTACCTCGTTACCACCGACTGTCATATGTGCGTGTCCCTGGTAAACACGGTCACAGTTGTGGTGTCCTTTGTTACCAGTGACTGTGCGTAGGGTTGTCCTTGGTTACCATGGTCACAGGTGGGTTTCCATGGTTACCACCGACTGTCACAGGAGGGCTGTCCCTGGGTACAATTGTCACAGGAGCGGTGTCCTTGGTTACCATGGTCGCAGGTGGGTTTCACTGGTTACCACTGACTGTCAGAGATGCGTGTCCCTGGTTACCACAGACTGTCATATGTGCGTGTCCCTGGTAACCATGGTCTCAGGAGACGTGTCCTTGGTTACCAGTGACTGTGGGTAGGGGTGTCCTTGGTTACCATGGTCACAGGAGTGTTTTCCTGGTTACAACCGACTGTCACAGGAGGGCTGTCCCTGGGTACCATTGTCACAGGAGGGGTGTCCTTGGTTACCATGGTCGCAGGTGGGTTTCCCTGGTTACCACTGACTGTCAGAGATCGTGTCCCTGGTTAATACCGACTGTCATATGTGCGTGTCCCTGGTAACCATGGTCACAGGAGAGGTGTCCTTGGTTACCAGTGATTGTGGGTAGGGGTGTCCTTGGTTACCATGGTCACAAGTGGGTTTCCTGGTTACCACTGACTGTCAGAGATGCGTGTCCCTGGTTACCACCGACTGTCATATGTGCGCATCCCTGGTAACCACGGTCACAGGGGAGGTGTCCTTGGTTACCATAGACTGTGGGTAGGGGTGTCCTTGGTTACCCTGGTCACAGGTGGGTTTCCCTGGTTACCACCGACTGTCACAGGAGGGCTGTCCCTGGGTACCATTGTCACAGGAGGGGTGTCCTTGGTTACCATGGTCACAGGTGGGTTTCCCTGGTTACCACCGACTGTCAGAGGAGGGATTTCCCTGGGTACCATTGTGACAGGAGGGGTGTCTTGGTTACCATGGTCGCAGGTGGGTTTCCCTGGTTACCACTGACTGTCAGAGATGCGTGTCCCTGGTTACCACCAACTGTCACAGGCAGGTGTCCCTGGCACTATAAATGTCACAGGTGGGTTTCCCTGGTTACCACCGACTGTCTCAGGTGAGTGTACATGGTTACCACTGACTGTCACGGGAGGGCTGTCGCTGGGTACCATTGTCACAGGAGCTGTGTCCTTGGTTAACACTGGCACAGGAGGTGTGTCCCTGGTTACAACTGACTGTAACAGGAGGGTTCTCCCTGGGTACCATTGTCACAGGAGGGTGGTGTCCTTGGTTACCACTGGCACAGGAGGTGTGTCCGTGGTTACCACTGGCACAGGAGGGGTGTCCGTGGTTACCACTGTCACAGGAGGTGTGCCCGTGGTTACCAGTGACTGTCACAGGAGGGGTTTCCCTGGTTCCCACTGTCACAGAAGGGGTGTCCCTTGTTACCGCAGCTGTCACTGATGCGTGTCCCTGGTTACCAACGACTGTCATATGTGCGTGTCCCTGGTAACCACGGTCACAGGAGGGGTGTTCCTGTTTACCAACGACTGTCACAGGAGGGCTGTCCCTGGGTACCATTGTCACAGGAGGGGTGTCCTTGGTTACCATGGTCGCAGGTGGGTTTCCCTGGTTACCACTGACTGTCAGAGATGCGTGTCCCTGGTTACCACCGACTGTCATATGTGCGTGTCCCTGGTAACCACGGTCACAGGCGAGGTGTCCTTGGTTACCAGTGACTGTGGGTAGGGGTGTCCTTGGTTACCATGGTCACAGGTGGGTTTCCCTGGTTACCACCGACTGTCACAGGCGGGCTGTCCCTGGGTACCATTGTGACAGGAGGGGTGTCCTTGGTTACCATGGTAACAGGTGGGTTTCCCTCGTTACCACTGACTGTCAGAGATGCGTGTCCCTGGTTACCACCGACTGTCACAGGCAGGTGACCCTGGGCACTGTGAATGTCGCAGGTGGGTTTCCCTGGTTACCACTGACTGTAAGATATGCGTTTCCCTGGTTACCACCGACTGTCATATGTGCGTGTCCTCGTAACCACGGTCACAGGAGAGGTGTCCTTGGTTACCAGTGACTGTGGGTAGGGGTGTCCTCGGTTACCATGTTCACAGGTGCGTTTCCCTGGTTACCACCGACTGACACAGGAGGGCTGTCCCTGGGTACCATTGTCATAGGAGGGGTGTCCTTGGTTACCATGGTCGCAGGTGTGTTTCCCTGGTTACCACTGACTGTCAGAGATGCATGTCCCTGGTTACCACCGACTGTCATATGTGCGTGTCCCTGGTAACCATGGTCACAGGAGAGGTGTCCTTGGTTACCAGTGAGTGTGGGTAGGGGTGTCCTTGGTTACCATGGTCACAGGTTCGTTTCCCTGGTTACCACCGACTGTCACCGGAGGTGTGTCACTGGTTACCACCGACTGTCACAGGCAGGTGTCCCTGGGCACTGTGAATGTCACAGGTGGGTTTCCCTGGTTACCACCGACTGTCACAGGTGAGTGTACATGGTTACCACTGACTGTCACAGGAGTGCTGTCCCTGGGTACCATTGTGACAGGAGGGGTGTCCTTGGTTACCATTGGCACAGGAGGTGTGTCCCTGGTTACAACTGACTGTAAAAGAGGGCTCTCCCTGGGTACCATTGTCACAGGAGGGGGGTATCCTTTGTTACCACTGGCACAGGAGGTGTGTCTGTGGTTACCACTGTCACAGGAGGGGTGTCCGTGGTTACCAGTTACTGTCACAGGAGGGGTTTCCCTGGTTCCCACTGTCACAGAAGGGGTGTCCCTTGTTACCACAGACTGTCACTGATGCGTGTCCCTGGTTATCACCGACTGTCATATGTGCGTGTCACTGGTAACCACGGTCACAGGAGGGGTGTTCCTGTTTACCACCGACTGTCACAGGAGGTGTGTCCCTGGTTACCACCGACTGTCACAGCCCGGTGTCCCTGGGCACTGTGAATATCATAGGTGGGTTTCCCTGGTTACCACCGACTGTCACAGGAGGGCTCTCCCAGGGTACCATTGTGACAGGAGGGGTGTCCTTGGTTACCACTGGCACAGGAGGTGTGTCCCTGGATACCACCGACTGTCACAGGCAGGTGTCCCTGGGCACTGTGAATGTCATAGGTGGGTTTCCCTGGTTACCACCGACTGTCACAGGTGAGTGTACATGGTTACCACTGACTGTCACAGGAGGGCTGTCCCTGGGTACCATTGTCACAGGAGGGGTGTCCTTGGTTACCATGGTCGCAGGTGGGTTTCCCTGGTTACCACTGCCTGTCAGAGATGCGTGTCCCTGGTTACCACGGACTGTCATATGTGCATGTCCCTGGTAACCACGGTCACAGGAGGGGTGTTCCTCTTTACCACCAACTGTCACAGGAGGTGTGTCCCTGGTTACAACCGACTGTCACAGGCCGGTGTCCCTGGGCACTGTGAATGTCATAGGTGGGTTTCCCTGGTTACCACCGACTGTCAGAAGAGGGCTGTCCCTGGGTACCATTGTGACAGGAGGGGTGTCCTTGGTTACCATGGTCGCATGTGGGTTTCCCTGGTTACCACTGACTGTAAGAGATGCGTGTACCTCGTTACCACCGACTGTCATATGTGCGTGTCCCTGGTAAACACGGTCACAGGAGTGGTGTCCTTTGTTACCAGTGACTGTGCGTAGGGTTGTCCTTGGTTACCATGGTCACAGGTGGGTTTCCATGGTTACCACCGACTGTCACAGGAGGGCTGTCCCTGGGTACAATTG